AACAAATTGAGACGCTAAGTGTTTCTGTGTGTGTGTGTGTAAAAATAGCTGGGAATTGGGCACACAAATAGATTTACATATATATGTATACATTAAATGTATGCTTTAAGTATAGATATATAAATATATGTACATATGTATATGTATATTTGTCATTCATATATACGCCGTTTGTTTATATGTATGCATATTTGTGTTTGCCTTTGTGAGTGCGCTTTAAACACATACATATATGTACATATATACATTTGTATCTATATGCTAGAGATGACACGAAACGATCACAAGTTTTGGGCACGAACAATTAAAGTAACTGTTCTATATGTCACATCCTACATACAGTTGTTATTTGGGAATTCGTGCCTCATGCAAGAGAGAGAGAGAGAGAGAGAGAGAGAGAGTATCTACTTTCTAGCTCGTCCGTATTTGTGTCACGAAAGAGGGCACGACTTGGACTCATCTCTAATAGAAACATATGTACACAAGTATTTAATTGCCATTACGCGACGCGTTTTCGTTGATTTTTTTTTTGTTTTTTTTTCTTTTATTTCTTGTTATTTACCTTTTGCTTGGTTGTTTGTTGTTTTGGTTTTTGTTTTTTGGTTTTGGTAGAAAAAAGAAAAGCCCAAAAAGGGCCCACACAGCTGACAACGTTTGGTGAAAGTCTGCCCCGGCGAATCGATTCCCCACCACCGCCCGGCCCCAACGACGACCTTTGCAGCCATACGGCGGCTGGGACGTGTTTATGTTGTTTCATAATCGACAAATTTACATATCTACAATTTGACCACGAGACGTGCAGCTGATTATCGTGTGTATACACTTATGTACATATCTACGTAAGCGTGTGTGAATATACATAAATGTCTGCATGTATACATGTCTGTGTGTGTGTGTACAATTCCCCTAGTTGTAAGTATTTGTCAGCTTGTGGGCAGTTGCCGTTAAAGTCGCTCATGTCTGCAACTGACACACCTGAGAAAGTAGCTCAGCCCGGCTGAAGGGGGGCGCAGACGTAGGTCAGTGGCAACTGAGGCGAGTGTTGTATAGCGTCTGACAGTCTCTCCCTCTCTCATTCTGCAGAACAGTGCTGCCAAGTTTTGCGCAAGCAAAAGCAGCTAGAACTCTAGCAGGAATAAAAGTCTGAACCGAAAAAAGCCGACAAGCAGACTTTTTCTTATTTTATTTGCTTATCATATATGCCAAGTATTTTATACCTTATCCATGCACTACGCGTATTTATATTTACTTTGTTTTATGGCTTTAAATGATTCACGAACAGAAATAGTTGTAAAATAGTCACTTTGTATTATCCGCAAGCGCAGTTTTATAAATAGCCTCAGTGCACGGGACCAAAAAAAAAGCGGAATTGCCGTGTGTGTGTGTGCATATTGGGGCCTTATCTAATCAACAAGTTGCTTTGGCAGCCAGATGGTGACGCGCAGCGCGACTGCTGCTCGATTGAGGTGCAACAATTTGTCTGCAATTGCCAACAGTTACCGCAGCAACTGGCCCAAAAATACTTTAGGCCGCGCTTAAAAAGCTGTTTGACAGGTTTTTCGCCTTTACAGCCATGTCGTGTGGCCGGCCGGTATGCAGTTCGGAGCTCGAAGCTCGACGCTGAAAGCCAAAGCTAAAATGCGGCTGAATGGCAGTTCCTGCCACAGAATGAGGCGGCAATGTTTAGGGGAATATAGAGAGGGCTGGGGAGGGGTGCCAGCCGAGGCAGGAAACATTGTAGCATTGAACATGCACAACAATTTTGTCTTGGACTTTGAGTTCCTTTTGTTTTGCTGGCACTGAAGCAGAAGGGGAGCAAGGGCAGCGCGGGCAGCAAAGGGTATGCAGTGCAGTTAAATGGAGTTCGTCGCCTCTGCCGGTCGTTCGGTCTGTCTGTTTGTCTGTCTGTCGTCTGGCTGTTTGTCATGCCAAAAGGGCCAGCAATGAGGCATTTATGCGGCTTTCCATTTACATAGTCGTAATACTTATTTATTTTGCCCGCTGTTGCAAGTCAAGTTGCAGGAGCCGGGCGAGGGGGGAAAAGGGGAAAGAGGGGGCAGGCCCACTCGAATGAGTCATGCAAACGGTGCTGGGGAGCATTGGCCAATGCCAGCGCCAGCTTTAAAAGCTGCATTCAATATAATTTACATATGCTGCGGCGACTTGTCATGAATGCAAAGAAAAACCGAATCCGAAACAACAACATTTCTGAAGGAAAGTGCCAGAAACTTTGGTCACATGCAAAACAAGAAAGAACAGTTATTTTCGAAATTCGCCGAAGCTTGAATACCCTTGCCGATGACAGTGTTGTGTAATGTGCGAAGCTGATGCAATTTTATTAAGCTTTTATAACTTTTATGTTACGTCATGAGCCTATGCAGCTTAGATGTTTGAATGTTGAGCTAGCAAACGGAAAGTCGTTGGTTCAAGCCCCCAAAAATGAGCCTAAATTAAAAACAAAACAATGAAATGGAAAATGAATGCGAAGGTATAGACGCATAGTAGCAATTCGAGCTAATGAGTGAATGATAATGAAATATAGTATATATATGGTATATCGATATAGCATTATCGATATTTTGAATCCAAAATAGCGGCTTACATTGAGAAGAGGGAAGCTTGTAAGTAGTTGGAGTAGTTAGCTATGCACTACCTGCCACAAAAAGGCAATGGGAAATAAATGAATATCAACTCAGGCTAACTTCTTGATATTGATATTGCAAAAAGAAGTATGATACCCTCAGGAAGTGTATCTCAATTATGTCCAAGGAAAGTGCCAGCAACTTTGGTCACATGCAAAAAAAAATAATCGTAAATGTTATCGTTGATCGATAGGCAAATGAGAGCGTGAAGAACGCAGCGAATGCCCGCATGTTGCCCAATTGAGGTGAAACAGGCGACGAGCTGGCAACATCAGCAACAAGAACAACAACTAGTTTGTGTGTGCGTGTGTGTGTGAGTGTGGAGAAACTGGGGCGCAATCTGCGTGTGGAATGTGCATCAGCTGGGCCCAGTTTGCCCGAGTGCGGAAGCAGGCAGATTGAAAGCAATCAAATAATGAAAACGAGGTGTAGAGTTTGGGGGGGGGAAGAGTGTGCGGGCGTGAGAGCGGAAGTGCGTAAATCAAGTGGAAAAACAAACGGAAAAACAGAAAGTGGGCAACTCCCCGACAAGCAGGCAGGCAGGCAGGCAGGAGATGACCTCAATTTGCATTTAATCGGACAAAGTGCTCGTGAATAGTGCAGCAAAGCGCATAAATCGCAGCCAATTTTGCCAATTATTTGGCGTTTAGTGCCAAGGACAAAAAGAAACTGAAAAATCATTTTCGCCAGCGGTTGGCCGAAAATGAAATACCCTTAACTAACAGCCGAACAATAAACCGAACCGAACGTTAACATGTTTTTTTTTTTTTCCTGGCAATTTAAATTTTATTATTAATTTACAACGAAGAGAAATTTATTTCTCTGCATATGAAAAACTTTTTTTTTTTTTTACTAATTTCGTTCAATAAAAGTTTGTAAATAGAATAAATTGAATTGATCTATTTCAAATTGGAATGTAATTGAAAAGTTGAAACTTAATTGGAATGCGAGAAATTTCGGTTCAAATCAATCGATGTAGCTAGCCAGGATTACGAGCCAAAGGCATCGCATCGCAGCTAATAGTCAATATACCCCATTGTCAAAGGGTACCAAGTGCATTGAGAGCACGTAGCATGCACCACACGACGTCTTATTCTGTTTTCGGGGCTTTGCATGCCAGCCCAAATTAGAAACGCCAATGCCAAAATAATTTCATTTGATTTCAGACCAAGTGGCTCTGCCAATTGAAAGTTTGTCTGCGATTTGCATTTCCAAATTGGTGGCTCGACACAAATGGTGAAACGAAATTGCTTTCGCTTTCGCTGTTAGCCGCAAACGCCCCCGCCGCACAAGCCCCCCCTCCCCCTCCATCTTCGGTGCCTCACTGACTCCCTCGCTGTGCAGCGGACAGGTCTAATCGGTGATGTGTTGTGGGGTCGGTCAATGCATTCGAACCGAATTATCGGTCAATCACACAGAGCACACAGATTGCAGCTTATCTGCGGTAAAGTGAGCGTTTATATGCACATTAAACAGCATAACAGCGAGTAGCGAGAAGGAGGGGAAGCTGAAATGAACTAACGAGGTGGATACGAAAGCACACAGGTAACGAAGAAGAGATAGCGATCAAGGCGCAGCTGTAGCAAGTAACGAGAATGAAGTAAATAGTAACGAGTAGATTGTTGTTGTTAATAGTAACGAGTCGAAGAGTGTAATAAGGAAGTGCTACTATAAGGAATAAGTGTAACTGCTCTCTGATGAGAATAAGAGCAACGAGTAGTAAGTAAATTATTTACTTAAAAAGTAGCGAGTAAAGTCGTTACTCACTATCAGCCAATCATACTTAAATCATAATTCAAACGAGCAGCCAGAGTTGCGAGTTTTGCGTAGCAATAAAGAAATTGCTAACTCACTTCAGCGAATACAAGATATTGTGTAGAGAGTAACTAGTAAATGATTACCAAATATAATAAGAGCATCAGCAAGTAAGTACACTGAAGTCAAGTACAATTTATGGATTGAGTGTCTGCAAGATTTGCTCATATACATTTATACATTATACATTACATGTATATAGTAACGAGTAACTAATGTTAATAGTGTACCGCATAACGAGTGAAACCTTTACTCAAATAAAGGAGGAGTACAAGTAGTTGTAATTAGCCACACTCAGCGAGTAACCAGCTAATATCGAGTAATAAGTAACGAGTAGATCGGCTTAAATACAATAGCAAGCAGGTAGTTCAAATACTCACACTAACAGTGTACCGCAAAACGAGTGAAAAATGTACTCAAATAAAGGATAAGTACAAGTAGTTGTAATTAGACACAGTCAGCGAGTAACCAACAAGTAACGAGTAATAAGTAGCGAGTAGATCGGCTTATATACAAAAGCAAACAGGTAGTTCAAATACTCACAGTACACCCGAACAGCGTGTGCAGACAAACGAGCCGATGGTCATGTTCACGTAGGTGGGCCCCTTCTGGTTGCAATCGAAGCACTGGCGATTGCCTGCGCCTCTGTTAACCAGCTCCCGCAGCGCTAGCAGGTATTTGTCGTCCTGTTTTTTGCGCACTGCCATATTGCTATTGCTATTGCTATTGTTGTTGTTGTTGTTGTTGTTGTTGCTGTTGTTGTTGCTGCTGCTGCTGTTGTTGTCGTCGTTTGCTTTGTTTCCTGCTTCCGTCTGCCCGCTGTCCTCCAGCCACTCGGTGTCCGAATCGTAGGCGTTGCTGCCGTTATAACGTGAATGAGGCTGATAGATGTCAGCCGCGTGTGGGACACTGCTGTTGTAAACGTAGACGAACTGAATTTTGCCTGATTTACAGCTAACACGATCAAGTTCCAAACTTCGGTTACACGGGTGCGTGTGTGTGTGCGCGTGTGTGTGCGTGTTTGCGATTATGTGTGTGTCCGTGTGTCTGTGTGTGCGTGTTTGTGCAACCGCTTTACGCAACGCTTGACCTTTCTTCGGCTGCAAATCACAAAGAAGAACAACAACAAACGCCGCTGACACCGCCGCCACACATTTACCAAAAAATATATATATAAATGTGTAAGTGTATTGGTGTTTGTGTTTCTGTGTGTGTCTGTATGTGTGTTATAATTTATCAGGCAGCAAGCAAAAATATTTTCTCGTTTATTTGTTATTGTTTACGTTTAATTTTTACACTGCACTCTTTGCTCTCTCACATACACGAGAAAACCCAACAACACTGGTTTTCGTTTTTGCTTCTTTTTACATTAATTGAATTTATTTACACACTTTTGCAGCGCACTCTGCCCGCTGCTGCTGCTGCGCTCAATTGGCCCACAACACACTGAATCACACACGCTGCGCCTTGTCTTCGTTGTTACTGTTGCTGTTGTTGTTGTTGTTATTAACAGAATTAAGCACAACAGAAATTCTCTTTTAATAACAAACTGCTAGAGACGCCCGTCCGACGATTCACGACACGACTGAACGTCGTAAACTTGAAAAATGAACTGACTATGCTATAGTGTGGCCGTAGTTGGGTTAAGCAGCAAATGCTGCTCGACTGACCAGGCGCCAAAAATACCAAAAGCCAAGTTGGCAGCGCCACAATTCAAATTTCTATTCACAATTTCAAATTTGAAAATGTGTCTTAACGGCATCGGACAAATTTTCATATAGCTGCCCAAAAGAACAATTGATTATTATATGACAATTAATTCTGGTTGAAAATGATTTAATTAGCTGAATGCTACAGGTACGACATTTACTCATCCAAAGGCTTGCGCGCATTGCCTTTATTCGCAAATTTGCGTTTCTTAAATGTGGCGGGTGCACTGCTCGCTGTCTCCTCATCCAGGCCCGATATTGTTTTCTCCTTGAAACGCTTTACAGGTGGCTCAGTCTCCGTCACAGCGTTAACAACAGGTGCTGCATCATAATAATCCATTTTGGGCAACTGCCAATCGATGGGCTCGGCTGGTGGTCTACAAAGTAGTTATAAAATCTTAACAATTTTTGTATGTGGAAGAATTCTTTGGGCTTACCTGGTTTCGACCACCTGCCATTGGCCAATCTCCTTGGTGGCTGCCTCCTCTTCCGTTTTAAACTCCAGCCGTTTCTCTTCCTTAAGCTTCTTCTCCTTGGCATTCTCGGGATTGCGATATAGTTTTGCGTGTCGCTCGCGATTAAAGCGCGCCACCTCCTCGTCCGCATTGGCACGAAAGCGTAGCGATTCCTCTGCCTGCGTGAGCTGCTGTTGATCTATGGCCAACTGATTGATGCGTTCGTATTCCTCATAGGAGAGATAACCCTCCTTGGGTGGCTCCCAGACGGATTCATTTGTTTTCACATTCCAGTAATATGTATGGCCCTCATCGGACTTGCCCTCCACCCAGAGCGATGCGTCTGGCACCGTCTCGGCGGCAACTTTATCCACATTTACCCGACGCTGATCCTCCGCATCCTCATCGGAATCGCCCTCCAAACGCATTGGATCGATTTGGCGCGGCTTGCCGAACGGCCCAAGCTTGGCACTGCTGGAAGTTGTTGCGCTGAGTACGGTATTAATGGAACGGGCTGTCATGTCGCCGTGATAGCCGTGTATATCCTGAGCGTAGGACTTCATTGCCGCATCCTCCATTTTACGGATCTCTGCGTCCATCTTTTGTTTCTCCCGCTCCGACTTTTCGCTGTTGCGGCTGATTTCCGTGATGCGCTTGGATACATTTAGCTTGTGTCGCTTGCCACTCTCGTGAAACGCAATACTCTGCAGCAGTTAAATAATTGTAATAAACAATTCTTTAATTTTGTCCAAATATTTACTCACGGCTTTGTTGTCGCTCAACCAGCATTTGCAGAAGTCGCAATACTTGCGTTCATTCGACTTCCAGTACTCCGTCCTGCAAATCACATATTTATTAATAATATTACCCACAATTTGTTATAAATAATTCAATTTGTCTACTTACATTTTTATTAAATATTGTTTACACTTTGTTTCCTAAAATTTGTTTTGCCTGAGAAGTGTTGTAAAACGTGAACGGAGCAGCTGTGATAGCTGCTCTGATTTTGAGTAGCAGTTCGTTTCAGGCAAATAACGACAAAAATATTCGTAAATTAAGACAATACCTCGTTTTTTTCTGTCGTGAATACATAAAATTATAATAAGTAGTCAATATGATTGCCGACAATTCTCTCAGGCTCTAAACTGTTAGTGCAATTGCGACTTACCAGATATTTACTCATTATGGTTCTGTTATTACTCTGTTAGCAGTTATTAGACCGCGAGCCAGTTATGCTAAATTTAAAAATCAGCTTTTTTGACAAAGTAATTTTCATTCAAATTAAAAAACTACAAACTTATTTAAGCTCTTTCACATTTTCAACTTGAATTTCATTAAAACAGTCAAACAAAATTTTAAAAAGTGCTAAAAAATTTTCCAGCATTTTGATTGTCCAGGTACTGCCAATAACAGTTCGCAAAAATGTTAAGTTAACATTTATATTGTTGTTTAGAAAGAGACACTCTGGCTGTGCCGAATAGTAGCAAAATTTCATTGTTTACGAGCGCTCGCTGTCCGCTCCAAGACGTCCGTCCCCAGACATGGCACAGGCCCGAGTCGCAACAACAACTTCTTTGAATGACACAATGACGGCCAAGACAAGTGAGAGAATTGGGCAATTGCGACCTCTGGTCCAAAGTTTCTTCCAACCTGCCAGACATACCGATTTCACCAGCGTGATAAAAAAACAAAAAAAAAACAGCTGTTGACTTAAGCTAATCCAAAATATGTTTTTGTTGTTGCTCGTCGCTCATGCGAAACTTTCGTTTGGCATTTTCAGATGGTGTATCTATGCCGATGTTGGGTGACAACAGCTGGGACGAGTTTACCATAGATGTGCCCTGGGGCATTGTCGCAGGTAAGCGAGACTGCGTAGCTCCATCTCTGGCGGTCTGCTGAGTCATCCTCAGTCAGCTTATCTAAGCTCACGAATCACAGCCGCACGTTCTCAATGGCTGTGATTACGCTAATTAAATAGCGCGACGCCAACAACAAGTTGTAGAAGGAGAAGAGTGCTCCAGACGAGCGCACAATGTTGCCAATTATCGATTCCAAAGAAATAGCGGAATCCAAGAAAATAGTAATGCAGCGCAATTCAGCTGGAAAATAGCTGAATTGGCACTGGTTCTTTTTCTATACACATATGCCCACATATACGCACACACAGCCAACTAATGACTTTTTCTGTTCCAGGTAAATGGTGGGGCTCGCGCAATACGCAACCGATTCTGGCGCTGCATGGCTGGCAGGACAATTGTGGCTCGTTCGACAGGCTGTGCCCGTTGCTGCCGGCGGACTGTTCAGTGCTGGCCATTGATCTGCCCGGCCATGGACACTCCTCGCACTATCCGCAGGGCATGCATTACTTTATATTCTGGGACGGCATTTGCTTGATCCGGCGCATTGTGCGCAAGTACAACTGGAAGAATGTCACGCTGTTGGGGCACTCGCTGGGCGGCGCACTCACCTTCATGTATGCGGCCAGCTTTCCCGATGAGGTGGCCAAGCTGATCAACATAGACATCGCTGGACCAACGGTGCGTGGCGTTAAGCGCATGGCAGAGGGCACCGGCAAGGCGCTGGACAAGTTTCTCGACTATGAAACTCTGCCGGAGAGTAAACAACCCTGCTACTCGTATGAGGAGATGATCAAGCTGGTGCTGGATGCCTACGATGGTTCCGTGGACGAAGAATCTGTTAAGATTTTGATGAAGCGCGGCATGCGGCCCAATCACAGCGGATTTCTCTTCTCGCGTGATCTGCGGCTCAAGGTCAGCTTGCTGGGTCTATTTACGGCGGAACAAACCCTGGCCTATGCTCGACAAATACGTTGCAAGGTGCTTAACATTCGTGGTGTGCCCGGCATGAAGTTCGAAATGCCCGAAGTTTATGCTGAGGTTATTGCAACGCTTAAGGCAAACGCCGAGCATGTGGTTTACGTGGAAGTGCCCGGCACGCATCATCTGCACCTGGTGACGCCCGAGCGGCTGGCGCCGCATATCAATCAATTTCTTTTAAATAAGTAGATAATGATCAAAATCCCGTTTGGCTCAGCTGCAATTTTAACATTCGCTCTGACATATCTTAAAAAGGTCCGGGGTCTTTTTTTGTTATTGTTGCGCAATGTGTTAATCGTACAGTGTGAGCCGAAGGGCCCTAATTAAGTAGGAGGCTTGATACTGTAGAAACATAATTATATTTTTTATGATTTGACCAGTATTGCAAAATTTAACCGCTTTTTTGGGTAAATGGAATATAAATGAGTTTTCGACAGTTGGGCAACACTGGCAGCGCCGTTGCTTAGCAACATTTTGTTTTGGCGTCAATTTTAATAGACTGCAATATTGCATTATTTTGATGTGACTGGCCAGGCATCACGCTGTGTTATAAATGGACTTGATAAAGGAAATTAACGAAAAGTATCAAGCATTGGAGGCGGAAATTGATAAGAAACTGGAAAAAGTGTAAGTGCGCTTATATTTTGTAAGATTATGTGCCGCGATGCAATGAGCCAGTGTGCCTCTACTGCTTACATACAATATTAAAATTGTAGCATACTTTGCGGCTGCTTATAAAATCAGAGCGGCCACTAGGCACAAAGTATTGCCAAACATTAAATAAGTATTTATTATAAAATTGTATGTAAAACTGTTAAAATATGGCTAAAGCCACTTACTTTTAAAATCTTATATATTTATTTATTAACAAAGTTGTATGTAAGTCAATAGGCCGACTTAAACTGCATGACACTACACTTTTTTGGCGACAGATGTCGCTTTCTATTGAGCGCCGTAACGGACATTTGAAACTAAAAATGCTTGTGTATATTGTAGGCAAGCCGAGGAACAAAAATTAGAGCGTCAAAATGAAAAGCTGGCAGAGAAATCAACAGCCGCACAGTCGCCCAAGATACTATCCTATGAGGAGGCGCTACAAAGGAACTCAAACACCCTAAAGGTAAGTATAGTAAATAGAATCGCATTTAAAAAACATACATTTACCGAATTTGTTTTCTGTACAGTCTTTGGAAATAGCAAAAGCACGCCTACGCTCACGAACCACATATTCACCTGTAGAAAAACTGCTACAGCGTGCACTGGAGAACTATAAAAACGAATTGGAGATTCTTAACAAGAAACTGCCTACCGAACAGACATACAATAAAAAGACACAGGAGCTTTCGGGTCAGGCAACAGCAGAGAAGGACGACTCGCTGGAGGAGGCAAGGCTATACGATCTGATCATGCATAATGTGCTGGAGGCCAGCAACAAGAGCAACCAGGCAAACGTCGAAAGTCGCCGCAATTGACAATTTCTGCACAGTATTTTTTCAATTTTTATTTCATTTCTTTGGAATTCTACGCTATGTACTTTTGCTAGTCAAGGCAAGACGTGTTGCTACAGCCACTGAAAAAAGTTCAATTCGCAAGCTGAATAAACAGCCGCCAAGTGTACACACATGACCAAACGAGAGTTGTATGCTTTTTCCCATAGCAAACAAGAACCCAAAACGAATAAACACGGGCCAGCTAAACGCTGTATCCAATGACAATAACCCACCAGCCGCACAAGATCTAACCAAAAGCTAGCAATCCTGTCGCACCAATTTACTAAATGTTCGGAACATGTTGCCGACGTTATCTCAAAGTATCTCAGCGACAGGTCGACAGAAGACAAACACATTACCAAAATTGTTGTCTGAATTAGTTGGCAATTATGTAGTTCTGGATCTGTTGCATGACCCACTGTTATGGACCCTCAAGATCGATTTCCAGTGTCAACCAACAGACAGACAGACAGCTCCGGACAGCTGCGGACAGCTCCATGGCAATCAACTTTAGTAATAAATCAATTAATGACACCACGGCTCGTGCAAACATCAAAGACGAAAATTATGAGAGGTTTTTCTCGACATACAACATGACATGTTCGTTGATAAAGCCACTGAAACTCTTTGTAGAGATGGCAAGGGAGGGGAGGGCCCAAGGGAGGGCCCCGACTATCGCCAATGCAAACGTGTCTCGAAGAGTGCCTTGACGCAGACGTATGTATGTCGAGCAAATAGCAAACAACATTTGAGTTGAAGTCATTTGTGTTATGGAGCAGCACTAACACACACACCTGCACAGGTAAGGGTATATAGATAAACGGCAACTACCTGCTGCTGATAAGAAGAGCTCTCGCTGCTCGAAATCTATTGAGACAAATTGTAATGCATATATACATGTGACACAAAACTGTTCAAACTTTGTTGTTAACGACATTTTCCATTTCATTTTCCATTGTTGTTGTGTGCGGCAAAGCGCAGGAGCATCAATACCCTGTGGGATAGCATTACCTGACATCTAATTGAAATTGCTTGCAGGACGCTCTTGAGGACACGTCATGCTTGTTGTCTTGCATGACTCTCTTGATGACATGTCATGCCAGATGTCTTGCAGGACACTCATTAGGACATGTCTGCTACGAATATGTATGTGTTGAATGGAGAACTATTTTTGGCTGTTTTTTTTTATTACTTTTTAAAATAAAATATTGCCATATTAACTAATTTATTAACTTTAATCTTGATAAAAATAATGATTATATATAAGGCTGATAATAAATCAGACCCAAGCTACACCTATAACACAAGACAAGCTCGCTGACATGTCGTCGAGTCTGTATGGAAGACACCTTCGATGACATGTCATCAAGCATGTCATGTGCGCTGCTGACATGGCACAAAAACTGCGGATTGCGTTTCCATCTTCCATCTGGGTGCTTTTAATTTAATAGCCAATACAAGGGCCACACACACGCACACACACACGCACACAACCGCACACCTGTATGCCCTGTCGTAGTGCTATCTACAAAAATATTACCCACTTTTGCCCCACATTTATGCGTTCAATATTTCATATTTATTTGCTTACTGTTTTGGCTTCACGCACACGCAGACACGGGGCAGCGGCTCCTCCTTCCACCTGCACAGGTGTGTGAGTGTGTGTGTGTGCTCGAGCTCTTGCAATTCATATCAGTCAGGGAGCTCGTTTCTACCGATCGACAACTTCGTGGCCCTGCCAGCCAACGCTGACGTTTTCAATTTCATCGACAAATCCAACGTTTCAGTTACGTTTCGATACGCGACAAGTGCATAGTGCCACGCGCTCCCAGGTGCGATCGCAACGAGCAGAAGAAGATTCGATCCGCCAATCAATATATATGTTATATTTATTGACCAGGTGTCTCTCAGTGCGCGGTACGCTCCATTCAAAGTTCGGGCAGCAAATTACTTGGGCCAAGGGAATGCAAACTGTCAACGCATTGCAACAAGTTTGTTCGTTTGGCTTAAGTTATTTTCATGCCCAACATAACGCCACGTGGTGGAGCGCCAGGGAAAGTACTTGCCCAACTATCGCATCCAATTGCCAACGTCATCTAGAAATCGTTGCGAGGATCGGCTGTGGCAAAAATAAATCTTTGCACCTGGCCACCAGAAAGAGCCAGAGTCAGATAAGAAACCCTACCCTACCCAACCTACCTACCTCCAATCCGTTACCCTTCCAATCAATCATATAAATTGCACAAACTCTGGTTCTTTCATTGCCGGCAGTGTAGCGTAGCGAATCGGTCGGATTGATAATGACACCGATACGCGACTCGCTCCTAATCTTCAACTTAAACTGATTGTGCTACCATTGAGAGAGAGAAAGAGAGTGAGAGAGAGAGGGGATAAAAGATTGAAGCTGTCGAGAGTCCGAGGGCTACGTATACCTCTTTACCAATACCCCTATCCATAGCAAGACCCCTACCAATACCCATTCACATACCCATACCCATACCAAGATCCAAGCCCATACCCCTACCCATACCTATACCCATACCAAGACCCATACCAAGACCCATACCAAGACCCACACCAAGACCCATATCTATAGACATATATTGACGATCGGGTTTTGCTACTGTTTTAGTGGAGCTTTTTTTATGGACAGCCATAGCATAGGGTCATAAATCTATAATCAATATTGATTTGTACGATTTACACCCCCTTCCTAGCTGTAGCCCTGCCCCTGGCACGCCACGAGTGTAAAATCCGAGATTTTCTTCTTTATTTTTTTTTTTTTTTTGTAGACGTGTCGTTGGCAGCTTTAAACTGATTCGACACGCCTGAGGTTGGGACTGCCAGCAGCCGTCGCTTATTTGGATAGTAGGGTCGATAATGACGTTGGGGGTCCAGGGCTCAAGCTAAAGCATGTTCGACCGGCGACGTGGCTTCTCGTGTCACAGATATATACATATATATAAATATATATATGTAGAGATATTGTGGAGTGGGTACGACTCGAGACTGAAACTGAAATGGAAACTGATAATTGTGCAACGTACACAGAACCTTGCTCGAGTTATCAGCACGAGTGACAACCGGAAATTAAAGTTGAAATCGACACGATTACTTCATTAGCTGTATTTCTTCATAAATACAAAGTGCTGCATGCTTTTTGAGGTTAGGTTCATGAGAAAGGTCGACAAGGTCGCCGGGGTTCAATGAACCCTCCTTAACTGATAATTAATTAATGACTTCTATTGGTAATTAATGGCCCAAAACCTAATCATAATTGAACGATTTGGTTGGAATTGGTGGGTAGCTGGTTGGGAGTGGCACTTCGAGAGCGGTAGTGCTCCGTAGGGTAGCGCTCAAGGGGATTGTTGCCAATTTAGCTATTTTCTAGAGAGAGTGATAGGTAACAATGAATTTAGAAAGACTATTTAATAAGCTATATTGCTCTACAAAGTGTTGCCTGCATTCTTGGGTTTGGGCTCACGAGAAAAGTCGACAAGGTCGCAAGCATTCAATAATAGTTTAATTCTCTGCCCACCAACTTATAGTTAATTTGTAACTTCTACTTGTTTATGAATGGCCTAAACCTAATTATAATTGAACTATTTGGTTGGGATTGAAGGGTAGCTGGTTGGGAATATGGCGCCTCCAGAGCGGTAGTGCTCCGTAGGGTAGCGCTCAAGAGAAGCTTTCCCAATTCAGATATTTTCTAAAAAGAATGATAACCAAATATTAATGATGAATTCGGAACGACTCCATCATTAGCTAGAGCAAAACTAAATATACAAAGTGTTGTCAGCATTCTTGAGGTAGGGCTCACGAGAAAGGTCGACAAGGTCGCAAGGGTTCAATGATAGTTCATTCGCTGCCCCACCAACTGATAGTTAATTTATAACATCCAAACATAGTCATAATCTAATAAATTGCTTGGAGTTTATGCGTAGCTGGAATGTTACCTCCGGTAGTGCCCCGAAGGCTAAGGCCCCAAAGCTGAAGTTGTTGAAACGCAATTATAAGCTGTAAAAATAAAAGTTGATCAGGTGCAAACGACAGACGAGGACGTGAAAAGCACAACGCCAAATATATATTTGAATACCCCAGACCCCAAATCGCTTAACTACTCGATGTCATTGGCGTCAGGTGGGTGCAGTCGGAGGGTGCCAAGAAACGTCAAAAGAAATGAATTCCCTGTCCAAAAAGCCTAAGAAGCCTGACGATGACGACGATGATGATGACGAGTGGGCCCCAGGCTGGGGTGGGCGGTGTTCGCTGCTGGTAAATGCAAAAACTTTAGACAGGGAATCAATTGTTACCTTGTTTTATTTCGCTCCCTTTGTCGAAAAGACACGCAACAACAATGGCCAGGTAACTAGCTACCCAAACGGCGGGGAGGGTGGAGGCCAACAACCGTGAAAAGAACTTCAGGATGACAGTTATGGGTTACAAAGGCAAGGATTGAATCAAATAAATAAAGGCACAAGGTTTCAATGCAGTCAAGGTGGGCGTTGGTTGGGGGGCTGGGTCCTTCGATGACGGGTTAACCTTACCATGTCCATGTCCATGTCAAGTTTGCATGCGGCTGCAGGTAATTCTTCATTTCATGCCGCTTTACATAATCATAATAAATGTAGAAAGCCAATGAATGGCAATTCTATTAGCATAACATCGCATAAAATATGGCGTACAATGTCTGCGGTGCCAGGCCAACAAATCAGTTGCATTGGAGCCGTTGAATCGCGATGAACGTCTGGAAGGCAAAAGTGTTGACCGAGGTGCCGTTTGGTCATGTGCTCATCGTCGGTGGCAAAGTCAAGCCGCATCCCAATAAGTAGGCAACAATAATGATTCCGACAACCAAAGTCCACTCGAATTCCGAAATATATATTTGCAGAATTTCGCTGGACCTGACGGACAATGTGAATGCGCAGAATGAAAGCGAAACGGTTTTCCTCAAAATTGAGGCGAACTTCCGCGAGGGTCAAATCATACGCAGCATGTTCCAACCGGGCGAGGGCTGGCAGCAGGAGGAAATCTCCAAGAATTGGAAATGCGATGGGCCCAAGAATCCCCTGGTGCCGGGCCAATGTTTCACCTTTCGCGTGGCCGTGCTGCAGCGCTGCTTCGAGATCTACGTGAACGATCAGCTCTACGGTTCGTTTGAGTTCCTCAAGTTTCCCAAGCAAATCAACTATGTGCGCGCCTACGGGGACTTCGAGAAGATCACACAATTCCATCATCGGATGCTCTTTCCGCTCGTCTTTCCGCGCAGTCTCATGTGCGTGGATCGTGTCGCCTTCCAGAGCGATGTGCCGCGGCGCTATGAGACGGGCACCGTTGTGGCCATGGAGTGCATTGCCAAGGGACCGCCCACAACGGAGTTCTCCATTTGTTTCCAGTGCAACGACACGGGTCGCATGGTGCTCAGGTTCAACGTCAACTTTGACAAGACGACCGTCACGCGTTGCTATCAGCGTGAGGACAACAGGTGCGACCCCCAACCGAATGACCCATAACCGGGGAGACCCACTCACACTTTCATTCCTTTTACGTTTCCTGCAGCTATGCCAGCGATGATGAGGAAACCGAGGGCGAGTTTCCGTTTGTGCGCGGCAAGCTCTTCAAAATCGCCTTCGGCATTGGCGATCGCTCCTTTCTCATCGCGGTCAACGGACAATATTTTACCTACTATAATTTTCCGATGCGTCCGTTCTCCATATCCACGCTCAAGTGTTTCACCAACGATTCGGGTGACTTTTCTGTGAGAAGCCTGGAGTATCACTCGGACTCACCGCTGCTCTCACGTGTCGAGAAATTGTCCATTATCTAAGAGGAGATTTGTATTTTTTTAGATTATTCCGAACTATCGCTAGAAGCGAGTAAAACCTTGCTAGTTGCAATCGTTGAATTTTTTCCTGTACACCAGTTAACTAACTACCTGTAGTCTATCAAGTTTATTAAATAAATTTAATTCTCTTAAAGAACATCATAATTTCCATATAGAAATTGGACTCAAGCTAACGTCTTGAAATTGCAAAACAAAAACGCCCAAAAAAGTGGAAATTGTAGTTTAGGATAGCCTCATTTCTAGCTAATTCTAGCTTGCTTTAGCTAAAAGATCGCTTAAAGTACAATATTAAACTTAACTTATACGTTTTCTATCTAAAAAAAAGCTAGCTATAGCTAAAAGTCAGCTAAATGGGCAGCACTGAATCTAACCTTTATCGAAAAAACTGTGACAATCGATATTTATCGATAAATTGTACACTTAAAGACAACTCTGTTTTATGTAGGTTCCTTTAGTTATTGCAAGGACCAGGCTTTATTAAAACAATTGATTGCTTTCGCCGCCAGTCCACACTCTTTATAAACAATATATATACCATTGGGTATGCACTACTTACTTCCCGCTCTACTGTGATGCTGAGTATGTGTGTGTGTGTCTGTGTGTGTGTGTGTGTGTGTTTGGCTAAACTTCGATGAAGTACAACTTATATTTAGTCTTATGGTTAGTTTCGAGTTTCCATTTTAGAATAAAAACACACATATACAAATCGAAACAGAAATATAAGCTACGATTTTATGTAGGCATCATTCCTTCGATTCCTTTTCGCATCAACTCTGTTATAGGTCATAGGTCAAGGTCAACTATTCGTTAATATATTTTGGGTTTGGATATCTCCTTTAAAAGTAACGGAACTCGCCCTTCTTGCCCAGATGCTTGCTACGCATCATGTCCGTGGCATCCGGTGAGCGTTGATCCATGCTCGTATTGTCCTGAAGAAAGTCGGAATTGATTGTATTGTGTTGGGTTTATTGGGTTTCCATTTCCGACTTACCGCATTGCCGGCCGTCAAATGACGTGACTTATTCGCGCCTGTCTGCTGCTGGCCATAGAACTGACCGTTGCCCTCGCCGTCGCCATAATTGAAGGGTGTGACAATCGTGTGCGGCACATGGGCCACCTGGCCGCGCATATTACGCGCCTTCCACCATTTGCGTGTGTCATCCAGTATCTGTTTTGGAGGAGAGAGCAAACCATGATAAATACAGCAATACATAGTCATAAGTAATCGGTTAGGAGCTACCCTGTACCAAGGTTGGAAACCCGTCATCCAACCGATTTAAACCAGAAATCCTATACTTTTACTATGAACCGAACCTTGAGAGGAATTCCAAAGCACGCGAGCCTAAGCCAGAACACAGGCATCGATATTTATCGACAATCGTGGCCACGTAGAAGTTATCGATTAGTTATCGAAGCTCGACCTGCTTATGATAAACGAGAATTTGCATCCCAGGTCTTACTCCAACCGATGTTGGTTGGATGTTGGATGGCTGGATGTGGACCCTTATGGAAAGTTTATGTATATGTTTAGACGGACAGGCAGACATGTGATCGAATCGACAGACATGGCTGGGATCTACTCGACTGATGATGCTAATGGGAATCTTAATGGGTAGCCCTATGGGAAACCTACCTCCAAGTATTCACCGCGCATGACGCTCAGCTCCTTGTCATTGTTGGCGGTACGCGGGTAGGTGACCAGAACAATTTTCGCGCCTGTTGACTGCAGATCCTCCAGCCACGCTTCCAGAAGCTGATCCTCGCTGGCATTGGCATTGCCCACACCACGTGCTGTGACAGCGGATATCTCAGAGACGCCGCCGCCGCCGGGTCCATAGTTGCCGCCAACGCTGCTGACGTTGCGGGACTCGCGTGTGTGTAGATTCTGTAGACCTGCTGTAATTGCGCTGAGTGTGGGTCCAGCACCAGGTCCATGACCATGAGCGGCACCGCCAGCCACACCACTGGACGGGACGCCAGCGCCGCTGCCGCGCTCAATGGAATCGAAGGAGAGCTCGCTGCGTGCATTAAAATCGGAGGCACTTATGGCACCGGCTCGATCACGTTCCCGATCCCGATCCCGATCGTTGCCATGGTGAATGGTGTACTTCTCGCTTAGGGAGATGCCGATGCCATTCGTGTCGTAGTCATCATAGCCGCCGGCAGCGCCACGTCCGTTCAGACCCATGCCGGCAGCTGCTAGATGACCCGGCCCCGGCTGGACGTCAAGGCGACGCTTGCTGATGTGCGTCGGCGATGTGGCCTCCAGTTCGTCAATGACTAAATAATCGGGTGACCAGCCGTCGAGAAATACCGGATGATAGGAGCCGACATCCTCCTTCCACTGGTCACGCGGTATGACCCAGGCATCGCCCAGGGAACGCCACAGCTCCGTCTCCTTGCTGGTGACGCAGTTGATTAACAAATTGATGGCCTCACGCGTCAGCAGGGGATTGATGACGCGCGAGGGCAGTTGCGACTCGTAGTAGGTGTCACTGGATGCCTCCACAATCAAGGCGAGCGGCGTGAACAGAAAGTGCACCAGCTCCGGCGCATTGGGATCGTGTATGTGCGCCTTCAACTTGGCCAGCAAATTGAATGAAAGCTTAAACTTGGCGAATATGTCCACGAACTCCTTCTCATGCGGCGGACGGGTGCGCAACGTGAGCAAACCCTCGCCGGGATCACGTTTCTTGGACTTGCGATTGCGACGACGTCGCTCCAACTCCCTGGACGCAGCCGCCGCGTGCTGCAGCCGTGCAATGAACTTCTCGATGTCATCGAAACAATGATTCAACACGGCCACATCCCGTTCGTATTTCTCGCTGGACGTGGAGCTCGTCTCATCGCGATCATTTGCCATGCCACCATGCTCCGAGTCCGTCTCGCCATTGTGGCCAATGTCCACGTCGGTGACAGCGCCAGCCGATCCACGATACTGATCCACGCTGCTCCGCTGATGATGCATGTGATGCTGGTGTTGTAGTTCGCGCTCCCGTTCCCGTTCCCTTTCCCGCTCTCGACCGCGCTCCCGATCGCGCTGTTCGCGCTGATGATGCTGTTGCTCGACTGTGGCGCGACTGTGCGACGAGGAGGAGGATGTTTTGCTCATCATCATTGCCAGGCCGGAACTGGATGCGCCGCTTGTATGCTGCGTGGGCGTGGCACCACGCTGCTGTGTTATCATTTTGCCGCTGCGCAACTGCTTCAGATCCTCCACCAGATGCACGGCGGAAACGCTTTGTGACTGCAGGAGGAGAAGAACACATGGTCAGACGGATGGACGAGCGCTGACGAGGATTACTCACCTGAAATATGTGCATTTCGGAGCGTGAACCACCGCCGCCCGATACAATGAAGACAAGTATATTGTTGTACAGCTCCATGGCGTCGTTGGAGGTGAATGCGGTGGGTTCTTGCACCAGCGACGCGGGAAAGCGTTCAATAATGTTCTGGAAAAGTTGACTTTCATTAAGAACCCGGATTTATACTTTAGTTGCGCCGACTTACCCCCGTTTCGTAATCCATGATAAGCACCCATTGATAGTCCAGGCACAGCTGCATCTTCTGCGACCAGATGCCTGTGGTCTTCTCCAGCTGCAACAGCCGACGCATGCCGTCCGCGGGATACACAATGCCCGACTCCTTGTTCACGGTGAACGTGGCCAGATGCTCCAGCAGATATGTGGGCTTGTCATGCAGATCGCCATCCAGGCGCTCCCGCTCCTCGCCACCGCTGCGATCATCGCCGGAATAGTCACCACCACCGCCGCCGCCTCCACCATGGGCGCCACCGCTGCTATTTCCGGCACTGCCGCCACCATTCGAATGATGATTGACCATCTTGCCAGCCAGGTAATTGTGACTGTTTTCCCGGACTCACAGCTGAAAGTGAAAATGTTGGAATTCACTAAGCATCCCACATTTGCGGCCAGCACACTTTTTGGCTTTAGCTATTGCGCAGTCGTTGTGGCTCTGACTCAGGCCACATTCCACGCTGAGCTCAAGGCACAAACGCAACAGCTATACAATTTTAATGTCGGGCGTAAGCGACTGCGCAATACCCTGTTTGCGGTGTTGTGACAGCCCGTAAAACAAGTCAAAAAGTTCGCTTCACTTCTTAGGTTGACTTTCATCCCATTGATCGTGATTGTCAAACTGTGACCAGCAAATGTTGCTAATTGCTTAGTAATATATTATTGCCGTATCTCTCAAACTGTCATTTATCGAAAATCGCGCACATATTTATATATTCTTGGCATTTCACACAAGCCGATATACTCATTTTTCACATTGGCGAACAGCGCATAATTATTCTCAAACTTTAACATTTTGTTCGCAGTCGCGCAGCTTTGGAATTTAAAAATCGCGCGCCCGTCACCGCCCTGGCCCCCAGCCCACAGCCCGCAGCACAGGCCAGCTGTCAGTTGTCAGTTGTATAGAATCTACCTGTTTGTCTATGTGGCCTCTGGCAACCTTAGCGCTCTTTCTCTCCCTCTCTCTCTCTGTCAACAGTTTGCAAGCCGCGGAGAGCGCGCAACAGTGCGAGAGAGCGGGCGTGCGCGCACACACACACACAAACAGTGAGCAGAAACAGCCGCTCCCTCGACTTAAGTGACAGCAACTACTTAGGCGTGTGCCGACGGCGACGGCGACGGCGACTGCGCCGGATGCCCAGTAAAACAAGCGATCGCATATTTATACACACACATACACATATGCACATGTGTGTGCGTGTGGGAATTTATAATTTGAATGTTAGAGCCAAAGTATGTACCCGACTGTTATACTTGGCTTATTTATATTCTCGCATGCCAAATTGCATCATCGGCAAGGTATTTTTTGTTTTGACAGATTTACAGCACAAGTTATGCTTTAGGCAAACAAAGACAACACTTGACGAATGAAGGTTATAAAAAATTATCACACCCAACTAACAAAAATGTCCAAAGCATAATGAAGTGTACTAGCCTCATACAGACATACATACATACACAAATAACCAGAGTTTCTTTGCTGTGGCAGCGTCAGCGTCGTAAAAGCACAGTAATATCGTAACGGTCGACCGGCCGGCTGGGCAGCCGCCATTCATTAAGTACAGATAATTAATTAAGTCGTGATAAGCAACTATTTTGATAGTAGACAACACCATTCGTCTTAGTTAGCTAGTCGTTAGAGTTTAAATTTTTGAAAATCAAGGTGTGTGTACACACTTAGTTATGTACATAGAGACATATGTATAAGTGTGCATATACATATGTAAGTATGTGTGTTCATGGCTTAAGCTGCAGTACAAAATTTAGATAAGCGTTGCCTGACTTATTTCATTTTCAATTTTGTTGTTGTTTATCTTTAAAACATTCCAGTGGTGCAGGCAAATGGCAAAACAACAAACGTTTTTATTATTGCTCAGTGTGCTCGCTGTGTTTGTTGTTGTTGTTGTTGTTGTTTATTGTTGTTGTGCCCCTGTGAAAAACCAGCTTGTGAACAAGTGAGACTCGCGGCTCAGTTACAAATGGGGAGACATCGACACCGACACCCCAAGCAAGCACACTATGGCCATCCCGTTCGCACACATGCGCATGCGTGACTGCGGGCTGCCAGGTGCCCCGAGAGTGAGACTCTGCTCTCCTACTTGGAGTCTGTCTGCATGTGTGTGTGTGTGTCTGTTTTTTGTTTGTTTGTGTGTGTGTGTGCGCTTTAAAAAGGTAACTCGGATTTGTCCCCGCTGCGTCTGCTGCAACTTTACTTTTTGACGACCGCATTTTTTAGCTTTCTTTTCCACCTGTTTTTCTCTTGCTCTGTTGATATTTTTATGATTTTTTTCCACAGGCACACTCACACAGACGGCGGCTTACTGTTAGCTACACATACGAATACCCATGTCTGTGTGTGTGTGTGTGTGTGTAGGTATTGTACATAGAGCATGGGCAATAATACCAAAGGTATGCACACAAACTGGGAGCGGCGGCAGGTTTCTCATATTGATTTTCAATGCTTTTGTTCAATTCATTCACTAATTCAACGAGACCTGCGCTATCTATTGTGTCGCTGTGTGCGTGTGTTCTAATTGACCGCATTGAATTTTTGTTTTTCTTTTTTCGCTGTGATCTCTGTTATGCAGATACATATTTAATATATATTCAGATTTGTTATTATTTAGTCAGGAATGTATTCTACCAGTTTTTTTTTGCAAAAAAAATATTCTATGTATTTTAACATTTTGTTTTTGTTTTATGTTAAAAGCAAGCTAACGAGATCCATTGATTTAAGCTATCATTTAAAAATTGATTGATAATTAAACTAATTGACAGCCTTTTATGATATCTGATATGTAAATTTGTTAATAGTTATTCAATATGAATGTCTCATGCAAATCGCACCTGTGCATACACACACACACAGCTCACAAATGTACACACACACATACATACATACATGCGTATGTATTAACATCTTCCTTCTCTCACTCACGCATTGCACATTCTTTGCTAATTAGCACGAATTTAAATTTTTGTTGACACGTTCGTTATGCATTTTTTGTCAAATATTCGATTGTATTAGGCACAGGCAGGGGCGGGGGCGGGGGCAGGTCAGGTTTGGCGCATTTGCTACATAAACACTTCGCAGACATTAACGCTGCGTTATTTTCATTAAAAAACATAAAAGCTAACTTTAATTGGGCTTGCGCTTTTGTCTAATTTCTTTCTTTCACACTTGACATCTATCTGCACACTCCCAATCTCAGCTTGAGAGCGCTCGTCACTTTTTTGTTGTTTTCTTTTTTTTTTACCTGCCGTTTACTTGTTGTGCTTTTGTATTCTCGTCCGCCTTCCTTCTATTTTGGCTTTCCACTTTCGTTCGTTCTTCACAATTTTTACAACACTTTTTATAAATCAAGTCTCGCTTTGGGCTTATACATATGTTTGTGTGTGTGTGTGTTATTTGAACACTGATTTAATTATTTCCACACACCTTAGTTGCAAATTATATGGAAAATATAAATGAAATAAAATAGCCGTAATGTCGCCGTAATTGTAGTTATTTTTATAGCACACGCGTTGTCCGCTGCGGCCGCGTTTAGTACGTCTGGCCAGACCAAAATCAAGGTACTAACTTGGCTAACTCAACACGGCTAGCTCTAGCTCCGTTAGCCAGAGCCACATGAGCTAAGCCTCAAAGTGTCTGTCTCCATGCGAGAGCGCGCCAGCGAGCGGTGAGAGAGCGGAGAGCAAGCCCAAGCGTTGCCACCTAGCAAAACAAATTTGTAATCAATATAAATACGTTTGCATTTTCTACACTAGCCTACAAAATGTATTTAGAACTCGAGATTTTTGCCAGTATTAATCCAAATTGCCATAAAACAGTTTTTTTTTCTTTATTAATTATAATTTTATTGTACGCAAAGAATTGATTCAACTTATAAACTAAGTTAAGGCGCCTTAAACAGATCAACTTCTGTTCTTTTTATTTGCTTTTATTAGCTTTGCTTTCAACGCATCGACATCGACTTTGCTGGTTTCGGCCGGACGCTTGCGGCTCTGGCTTGGCGCATCTTCTGTTGGCGGCACAAAGTCCTTGTTGCGGCGCTCGTCCTGCTTCTTGGCTGCCTCCGCCTGTTTGACACTGCGCTCCTGCTGTTTCTTGGCCTGCTTCTGCTCCTTGTTGAGGAAGTATTCACCTGTGGCCAGCTGCTTGTCAATCTTGCTCTCCGGCTGTGCCGGGGGGAAGGGTGTGTACTCCTTTTTGGGTTTCTTATTCTTGGGCTGCTTGCGTTTGCTTATGTTCTTGTTCTTAAACTTGGGCAGAAACCGCGACCAATCCTCGTTGGCCAACTTCGGATCTTTCATCAGTTCGCGTTTGATCATCAGAGCTTTTATATTGTAAATGGGATGCACATTGTTCATGGTCTCCAGCACAATGTCGCGCACCTGCTGCAGACCCTTGTACGGGCCCAGCGCTGAGACCGTATTGCCCTGCACCAGGACATAGCAATCGGTAAGCAGCTCGATGGACTTGAGCGTGGCGCCATTGGGGCCAATTAGGCGCTGTCGACGCTTTACAAATTTCTCCTTTTTGTGTACCAGATTGCCAATTTTAATGATGTCGCATCCAATGTCGTCTTGGAGCACACGTTTCGCCTGCTCGAAGGGCACACTGCGTGCCATCAGTTTGATCATGTCCCGGGATTTAATGATGATGTAGGGATCCCATGTTTTGCGTGTCGTCTTCACCACCATGCTGCCCTCCACCAGATCCAGTTCGGCCTTCAGATGATGCTCTGCCACGCACTGCTGTACCAGGGGCCACACTTCCTTCAAATATTTCTCGCGGTATTTGGGGAAGAGCGTGGCAAAGGAGCTCTCCTCGACCAGGCCATGTGGATTGTCCTCTGCCTTGAATGTGGGTATTTTCAACGACCATGCGTTGTCCACTGGCTCCGTGCTCTGCTTTGTCGGTCCGTCACTTTCATTGTCACTCATAATTGTTTAAATTTATAAAAAACAATTTCGTTTAAACAAATTTACTAAAGTTGGCCGTGCACGTTTGTTTTGAACAGCTGTCAAGCAAGTGTGGCCGTATAAAAAGTATCGATAATATGTTATGAGTGCGATAGCATATAACGATAGTTGAAGTAACATCAATACACACAATATACAAGGTTACAAAAGTTTAACCCAAGCTGAAAATAAATTAGCTTTGTAGGACTGCGTGAAAATTATAATTAATCCAAGAAAAATCAACAAGGCATTTTATTTGTCCGACAAACGTTCCCATTTTTATTGATAGTTTATGAAATCATATATACATTTTTTAAAATAGTGACGTACATGCTAGAGCGAAACAGTTATCGAAATATCGTGTCAGTGTTGAAACATCGATAGGTACTCAAATAAGGTGTGTCGAATGAAATTTTCCATTCATATTTCATTCTATTGTTGCTTTTGGGTGAGTTTGGTCGATGTTATTTTCGTTGAGGCACGGACTTTCACTTTCGCATATAATTTGAGACGCAATAAATTTTTAAACTCGTCAATATTAAAAATAAATCAGTTTAGCTGGCGAACAATTGAATTGAATTCATTTTTTGGTAGGTCATATTGCTAAAATTTCATCAATAAACGTAAAACCTGAAGTGTATCCGGATAAAAGAAAAAAAAGCCACCTGGGGGCGTGGATGTGTCGTGCAAAATTTGCATAAAGTTGATTTAATTTGTTAGTTCTTTCATTTCAAGTGGAAAATATTGGTATTGTATCGTTAAAACATAAATTTTTTCGCATATTGCGTATTAGTGAGAAATTTCTGTGAAAAATCAATATGGCGTCGATGACGCGTCTACGTGGCTACGGCACGGCGCTGCCAACTCCTTTAAATTAAGAATATCTCGAACAAAAATGTTTATTTGCAGCTAGGAGGCTACATAAAACAATTCAAGCGCGCGTTCATTAAAAATGTTCCAATAAAAATTTTTTGAGAAAAATATTTAATCACATCTGCAGATGAATGGTTAATTTCAATGCAGGGTTGCATGTTCATTTGAAGTATCGATTGCGATTAGTCGATTGGTTCCATCACTGCGTAGTTGACAAGAGCATTAGAACGCGAAACACGTTTTTTTGTTGGAAGCGGACTGCTGATGAAATTGGTCAAATCGAAAAACATACAAATATTAACTTGAATACAACAATTGAAGGCCATTGGTGCTCGTTTGGCAAATAAATGGACATGGATCGTACATATGCAAGATTATTTAGCATATGGTTATTATAACAATTTATTGCGTCGCTAGGTAGCGTTGTTGCAAAGTGTAGTTGAATATTATTTGTATATGTATGTGCACAAATACTAAGTGACGTTTTCTACGATTTTAGATCTGAATTTATAAAGATTGCAATTTGATGGCCTAAATTGGTGCATTACGTAATCTTCGTGGTGTTTGTATTTCTATAATTTACGCACGCACGAATCGACGCTTGCGTTAGAAAGAGACGACAGTAGTGCATTTTCTATTTGGCGTTGCCATATAGTTTTTAAAAAAAGAAGTAAAGTATGGTGAGTTTGTAATAATGTTTTAATCGAGTTTGATTTATTTAATTAATGAAATTTTAAAATAATTGCAGCCGCGCATAGTGCCCTTACAGTTATTAAAGTGCCTGCGGGTGCTTTTAGATACCAATGGAGGTATACTAAGTGCGACAGAAGTAAAACGGATAGCGGGGTAAGTTGTCACATGTGCAAAAAAAAAAAAAAAAAAAACACCAAGCGCCCTCTAGCGTTAGTTTTCCTTACTTATTTATTTTTTCTGGTGGATTTTTATAGGTTGATGACGAAATACTCAAAAAAGCTGGTATCTAAGTGCGTTTACGTGCAGATCTTAAAGTCGACCAAAACAGAACTGCTGGGCGACTTTATGACAGTTGGCGGATGGGGTCTGGTATGCACCTGGCTAAGCGATGCGATACGAACAATGAACTGGCCACTCGTACAAGAGATACTTGAATTGTTGCTACTTTCCCCTGTTGATGTAAATAGATTAAAAATAAACTCGGCGCCCATTTTGGTCAAAGGGCTGTGCAAAGATGGGGGCAATGAAGGTAAGTGTCACTTCACTAGATCTATAAACCAAATGGCTGTATAACTGACTAATCTGGTAATATGGCAATTTGCCCTTGTTCCTCCTTTTTTATATTTTTTGCTCATTTTAGGCGTACGGATACTGGCGAAGCGGTTGGTTGAGCAGTGGTTAAAGATTGTTACGGAGAATCCTAGCGGCACAACAGCTACCACAAGTTCGCCCGCGGGGGCAGTCGAGTCACAGCAGACGACAGCGTTAGTAGCCAGGGATACGTCGGGATCGGATCTGAAGGACACGAATATGGAGCACAGCTCGTCGGACAGCACGGACAGCGGCAGCGGCGGTGCGACCGTCAAACAAAACTACACGATTACCTCCTCGGCTGAGCGCAAGCGCAATATAGTTATAACAATCAAAACTGTTGACAAATCTGCCTCTACGTTAACAACGGCAGATAGTGTATATAACGATGACGATAGTTCCTTACCAGCATCTGAGGCTGGCTCTGAGTCCAAAGGGACCGAGCCGAATGCCCATTTAGCCAGTTCAGAGAAATCGAATTTAGATGATAGTAGTACAACGGCAGATTCAAAGCTTGATGACGAGTCTGATAAGAAGCATAAGAGTGCTCGGGACAAGAGTAGAAGTAGATCGGAGAAAGACCGTGACAAGGATAAAAAATCGTCCAGCAGTCACAGGTCCTCTTCGTCTAGCCATAAGTCGTCTTCGTCTTCCTCCAAGAGCTCGTCGAAGGGTTCATCATCTTCGTCCCATCGCAGCTCCAGCGATAAGCATCGTGACAAAGACAAGGCACGATCAAGTTCCAGTTCGAGCTCAAGCAAAGATAAGGATCGAAAGGAGGGTTCTAGCTCATCCTCGACGGCGACATCTTCATCTAACAAGCACAAATCCTCTAAATCATCGTCGTCATCGTCATCCTCCTCTTCGTCGAGCTCTAGCACCTCCAAAGATCGCAATCGCGATAAAGACAAAGAGAAGTCGTCGTCTTCGACGGCCACCAGGAAGGAGAATGAAAAAGACAACAAACTAATGCCACCGCCCGCATCCTCCGAAAAGAAAACTAAAGATGGTGAATCCGATGTACAAAAGGCCAAATCGATATCCATACCCAATAGAAAGGCCTCGATATCGATAGAAATACGCCGTGATAACGAAAAGACGGCCACAGTCAAGACGTATCAGTCCAAATTTCGTTCCCATGGCCTCACCGAGGAGGCGCCACCCCCACCATCGCGCAAAGGCCTTAAGAAGCCCACATCTTCGACGACGCCAACAATACCACCAACGATTCTGCCCCCAGCGACGGCACTGAAGCGTCCATCGCCACCACCCCGGGATACGCCTGCCGAGAAGAAGCCCAAAATCGATATGAATCATGTGATTGGACATGTGGACCGGCCGGGATCGGTTAAGCTGATAGCGCCCAAAAAAAGTAAGCATCGTTCCAAAGAGCACGTTACTAATCCTCCTATTATCTCTTTACAGAAACTCTGTCGGTTTTTTGCTTTTGTTGTTTTGCTGCAATTTGACACGAACTTCTTGTGTGTGTATTTTTGTTGAAATCATTTTAAGGAGTTTAATTTTCGCTTGGGGTGGTTCATTAATTGATTGATTGGGCTGGGTTTGGGGCAAACTGCAAATCTTGATTAGACAAGTTTTGGATGCTTTTTGGTACAATCAATTATTTGGCCCGGATCGATCGATCGATTGTGCGCGCGGCGGGTCGGTCGGTCGGTCATTCAGTTATACTAGTTGAATTTTTGATTTAGTTTGTTGAAGCCTACCTGCAAATGGAAGGACAAAACGAGGAAGTCGCTGGTTGCCGGCGCAGCTCTGATCAGCGGCGGGGCACACGACGATGTGGCAGGCCGGATGGGCCCCAGCGGCAAGACAGAGCCCAATTGTACGGCGCATGCGCTCCTCGGAAAGCTGGCGCGGCGGCAAGTCGGCTTGGTGTTAAGTATTAAAACTCAACCTACAAAAAAAAAAAAACAACAACAACAACAGATAAAAACAAAACAAAAAAACCGAACATATATCTATAAATCTATGCAATACACGTTAATGATTTAGCTTATAAGGTATGTAGATGCAGCTTACTAACCTACTACATACAAAAAAAACAAAACAGAAAAACCAAAAATAAATACGACTTTCCTCTAGAAAAATCTACTTTTTCTATTGAAATAAAATATGATATGAAAACTATGATGATGCTGATGCTGATGATGATGATGATGATATATCTATATAAACATCAAACTTGAGTTGGCGTTTCTTAAAGTTTGGTAGCCAAAATGACGAGCACACACACACACGCTACAGTTGCCGCTGGCTATGATGGTCGCAACGATATTTTGACAAGCACCCAGCACTAACTTAAAAGATCTATAGTATATATATGAAAGCAAATGAAAATGGAAAACTGTGCTGTGTTGCATGTTCATGATGCTACCAAGGTCTGAGAACTTGGCCGTCTTTTCACTTGAGCTGGCCTTGCAACATGTGGCATATGCCCACGCGCTGTTGATCAGTTTGTTAATTAATTTTTTTTGTTTTTCTATTTTTTTTTCATTACTTTTCTTTTTGTTGTTGTTGATCAGCGTCTGCAAGGGGTGTACGATAGGTTTTGATGTTAATTTTTGTTTGATAGTTAAGCAAATCGGCTGCTTGTATATATTTTATATATACTATTCGAGCAGTTTTTGGGGGTCTGTGCAGAGGCTGCGCGTATTTTATATAGTTATATATATACTTATATAGATTCAGCTATATGGTATATAGTTAAAGATTTAGTCTTGCGCCAGGCACGTCGTGTTTTTTTTTTTTTATATATATAGCTTTCTACCAAATTAGCTGGGCATACAGGTATTTTGATAGTCCCCCTTTATCAGTTTCTTTTCGCAACAAAAGCAAAAACCCGAAGAGTGCGTAACGAACCCTAATTGC